CAGGGCACCCCAGGTGGGGGCCCCCCCCCCCCTGGATCCAGGGCCCCCTTCAGGGGCAAAACCAACCCAGTCCCCTACCCATGCCCCAAGGCTCTTTCTAATAGTAAAAGGGTTATATGCTCCCGCCCCGGATCAGCGGAGCAGCGAGGCCCTGCCCCAGGATCAGGGTGACAGGGGGCAGCGCCCAAACCCCCTGATCGCCCTGCGGCTGTGTGTGTTGACAAGGGGGGCGGGGCCCACAACCTCCCTTATCCGCACTGCTCTGTTCGTGACAGGGGAAAGGCGCCCCAACCCCCTGATTCAGCCCTGCTCTGTGTTCTGATGGGGGGAGCTCCCCAATCCCCTGATTTCCCTGCGGCTCTGTGTTTGACAGGGTGCAGCGCACCAACCCCCTGATCGGCCCTGCTGTGTGTGTGACAGGGTAGAGCCATAACCTCTCCATCGGCCCTGCCCCTGAGTGTGACAGGGTGCAGCGCCCCAACCCCCTGATCGGCCCTGCTCTGTGGGTGATAGAGGGTGGAGCCCCAATCCCCCTCCACGGGCCCTGCTCTGTGTGTGACAGGGTAGAGCCATAACCTCCCCATTGGCCCTGCCCTGAGTGTGACAGGGTGCAGCGCCCCAACCCCTTGATCCGCCCTGTTCTGTGTGTGACAGGGGGCGGTGCCCCAACTCCCCTATTGGCCCTGCTCTGTGCGTGACAGGGGGGAGCTCCCCAAACCCCTGATCGGCCCTGCTCTGTGCGTGACAGGGGGGTGGCACCGCAACCTCCCCATCAACCCTGCCTTGAGTGTGACAGGGGGCGGTGCCCCAACCCCCCAATCGGCCCTACCCTGAGCGTGACTGAGGGTGGCATCGCAACCTCCCGATCCGCCCTGCTCTGTGCATGACGGGCAGCGCCCCAACTCCCCAATCGGCCCTGCTCTGAGCCTGACCAGAGGCTGCACCTAGGGATTGGGCGTGCCCTCTGCCACCCGGGAGCAGGCCTAAGCCAGCAGGTCGTTATCTCCCGAGGGGTCCCAGACTGCGAGAGGGCACAGGCCGAGCTGGGGGACCCCCCCCCCTCCAGTGCACAAATTTTTGTGCACCGGGCCTCTAGTAGGAGAATAAAGACAGAAACTGGCTGGAGAACCTGACTAGAGAACCTGGCTAGGCTGCTGATCAACTGAACGCTGTCTCCGTGTCATTTCTTCTTCACTGACTCCGTCCACACCTTTGGGGACCCCTGGACCTGCTGGGGTTGGACCCCAACAATATCTCTTTTACACACTTTGCCAAATTAATTTGATTAACAAACTCCTTTTTAGAAATGCAGTAGCTTAGTTTTCTTAAGAAAACTTTAGACTGCCCGGCTGGTGTGGCTCAGTGGTTGAGCATGGACCTGTGGGTTGGATTCCCCCATCAGGGCACCTGTCCTGGTTGCAGCTCTATTCCCAGTAGGGGGCATGCAGAAGGCAGCCAATCAATGATTCTCTCATCATTGATGTTTTTATTTCTCTCTCTCTCTGAAATCAATAAAAATCCATTTTTTAAAAAAGGAAAACTTAAGACCCAGGGCCAGAAGACCATAGTGTGTGTGGGGGGAGAGGGTGGGCGTGGAATAGGGATAATGGCAGCGAAAAACTGAAGATTAAAAAACGAATTATGTGGAACTTATAAAAAGTATCTAGGACTCCAGTAACAAAATGTTCATGTGTTCGTAGACATTGGTGTTCTCTCTTAACACTCACGTTGGATGGCTCGCCCGCTCCAGCCACAGAAGTTGCCCTTTTCCTAACCCTGCTCCTCGCTGGCATAATCCACTCGCTTTTCACTCGCACGTTGGTCGGGAAGGGGAATCGGGAAGCCCCCATTCTTTCTACAAGCTCATCTTGTGCACTTACACTGTGCTCGTCAAGATAAAGCCTAGCCGTGCCCTCCAGGGCTGGGGGTGTGTGTGGCAGATTCGGTGAAGGGCTCCAATGGAAGTTGGGGCCCAGCGGGGACCCAGAGGCGGCGATGGACTTGGTCGGCACCTGTCGGCAGGAAAGGCGTTCACGGCGGAGGCCGCTCGGAAGAAGGCCGAGGGCGGGTGCGAGGGCAGGAGGAGCCGCAGGTTCTGAGAGCAGCAGCGGTTTGCTGGCGAGGCGCGGAGAGACGGAGTGCGAGGGGCCGCGGGCAGGAGCCCGGCCTCGGGAAGCGGTCTCCCGTCTGTGAAACACGGGCGGCCCGGGCGGCCGAGCCCAATGGCCCCTCAGCCACCGCCCCGGATCCTGAGGGCCGCGGGAGAGCCGGGCAGAGCGGCGGAGGCCCCCTCCAGGCGCCGGAGGAGCGGGCTTCTTGGGTCGGGGCGCCGGCATCGCGATCCGCCAGGACTGAGGGCAGAGGCCACCCGGGGACCCGCAGTGCTTCCCGACATGCTCCTCTCTGGGAGGATTTCAAACCCTGGGCAACAACCACCGCCGCCGTCGCTGAGCCGCCTAGCAACAGGCGGCGGCCCTCGCCTCATTGGCCGGCCCCGCCTCCGCGCGTTTTGATTGGCCGTCGTGCCTTCCGGCCGCTCCTGCGCTCCCCGCAGCCTCCATTTTGTTGGTAGAGACAGAAGGAGGAAGTCGTTGGGACCCTGAGGTGGCCAGCAGCTGGGTCGTGGTGCTCGTGGGCTGTGTCCGTCCCGTGCCTCGTCTCTCCCTGGAAGGGGAGGGGGCCTCGTTGCCCGTAGGAGCCGCCGCCGCAGTCCCGAGCTTGAAGTCGGTGAGTGGCGGCGCCGTGGGCGCGGCCATGTTGGCGGCCGGGCTCCCCATTGTTGGGGGAAGGAGGCGAGATCCGGGAGCCCGGCGGGGCGGGGGCCGCCGGAGGACCAGGTTCCCGGGTTCCCGGGTTCCCGGGCCCGGCGGAGACAGGCGGAGGCCCGGCGGAAGAAGCTCGCGTTGTAGATGACTCAAGGCCCAGGAGATCGTAATTTATTTAAGGCCCTTTTACCCTTTCAGGAGGGCTTACTGATACCTTCGTTTCTCATTTCTTGGAGTATCACGTGAAAACGGAGTCTTGAGTGTCTAACATTGACTGTGGGGAGGCATTTTTATAGCTCAAGACGGGAACTGGCTTGGCGTGTGAAAACTTACTTAAAACGGGGAGGGGTTGAGTTCAGAACCAAAGGAAACTGCGTGATGAGACATGTTGGGAAACAGGCCTCATGAAAACCGATGTGTCGAGAGATGACAAATTCTCTTGGGACTTCAGTAACACGATCTTTTTAGAAAACGAATTTTAAGCTAATTTCTTGTTACGGCTGTAAAGGCTAATGCTTCCTTAGTTTGACTCAACGTTGTGGTCACATAAGCCGTTTGAGAATCTGGAAAGTTCCCGGGAAGAAGATAGGAACAGCTTATCGGGGCCCGGGCCCCACATTCCCTGGGAAGGGGTGCCTGGGTCTCTCATGGAGAGTTCGTCAGTGATGACAGTTACGGGGAAAAGCAAGCCATCTTCAGATTTCCTGCCTTTAAGTTCAGGAAGTGGTCGGCTATTTCTGTAGTAACTATAAACGATCACCTTTTCTCCTGTGTTTTTTATTTGAATTAATGAAGTCACTTTACTTTTCTAGCTAAGACTTCTCTCAAACGTGTGTGCTGAGGAGACTCAGATGTTGGCCTCAGCTCCTAGGCTGAACTCCGCAGATTGGCCCATGAGAACTTCTGCATTGAGACAAAGGAGAGGATCTGAGAGAAAGCAGCATCTATTATCCTGGGCTTGGCAACAAGGAAGAGGACAGGCAGTGGAAATCCTGCAATCTGAAAAGCAGACTGAAAGGTATTTAAAAATCCACGTTGTGATGGGGTAAACATTTTATGGTAGACTCATCCTTAAACCACTTGTTTTTAAGTAGAGGATTTTTCAGATTTGTGGGTACGGTCATTTTTCTTAGAAAGGTAATAACTGCATATAGTGCAGTGTGAACATTTAATGAAGTTAAAGCAGCTAAATAACACATTTAAAATTTTTTAAGTTAATTTTTAGAGAAAGAGAGGAAGGGAGAAAAACATAGATTTGTTTTTCCATTTATTTATGCATTCATTGGCTGCTGCTTGTAATATGCTCTGACCAAGGATGGAACGCAACCTTGGCATATCTGGATGCTCTAACCAACTGAGCTATCCTGCCAGGGCTGAATAGCACATTTTTTAGTCTTCCCAAAGGTTTCTGGAGTAACAAGTTGATACTCTAGAAGCTCCTTAAAGTTTTGAGTTTTTCTTAATGGAGTCTTATTTTGTTTCCATTCACTTACAGGTGACAAAGAAGCTGAAGATGGGTGGTGGAGAGAGGTATAACATTCCAGCCCCTCAATCTAGAAATGTTAGTAAGAACCAACAACTTAATAGACAGAAGACCAAGGATCAAAATTCCCAGATGAAGATGGTTCATAAGAAAAAAGAAAGAGGACATACTTATAACACACCAGCAGCTGCATGGCAGGCCATGCAAAATGGGGGGAAGAACAAAAACTTTCCAAATAATCAAAATTGGAACTCCAACTTATCAAGTCCCAGCTTGCTTTTTAAGTCTCAAACGAATCAGAACTATGCTGGAGCCAAATTTAGTGAGCCGCCATCACCAAGTGTGCTTCCTAAGCCACCAAGCCACTGGGTTCCTGTTTCCTTTAATCCTTCTGATAAGGAAATAATGACATTTCAACTTAAAACCTTACTTAAGGTACAGGTATAAAATAAGATAAAGTACTAATGTTTAAACTGAGTAATATTTAAGGGTAGTTGACAATTGTTTCATACCAAATTCAATACTCAGTAATTAATCTGTTAAACCCCGTTAATTATTGTAGAAAATAGACTTCATCTTGTTTTGTGTTGCTGTGCACTGTGATGTAATGGTAGTATCAGTGCCACTTAAAATAACTAAGTTACTGATAATTGTACTTATATCAAGTGTTCTCAATTGAGTAACTTTTAAGCAAAACTACTCAAGATTAGATTTGGAGAATGTTAAAGGAATCAACTTTTTAAACTCTTGCTTGTTGGGGTAAAGTACTGATTAAACTGAATGGTGGTGAATGTGGAAGGGGCAGTAGGAGCTATTTGGAATGAGACCGTATCCTCCATTGGCCCCATTATATGCAGTGGATAGCTGACTGCAACAAATGTGCCCAAACCATTTTTTATAGAAAGTTATTTGGTGGTCACAGAGTAACTTTTTTAAAATAACATTTTTGTATTATAGCACTGCATAGGCTATTCTGATAGTGATTGGCCTCAAATCATCCCTGCAAAGCTTGCTTAAAGTAGGGAGTTGTATTATGTGAAAGTACCTAGGAAAGAAAGAGCCATGTAAATACATGTAATATACTTGTAGCATATGTAAAGTTTTACCATTCATCTTAACAAAAATAAGAGTATTTTTAGTATTGAATTCACTAATGTAAGACCATGGACTCTTTTTTACACTATGGCCTAATTTTAAAGGTCCAAAATAAAGTTTGACCTTGTGCTAAAGTGCCAGTGTATGTATAATTGATCTGGTTGTAAACTATATTTCAAAGTAAATCATAGTGTCACTGTTTTATATAACAAAAGGTTTTAAAGCTGCTAAAACACTTCCTATTTGTAAAAGATGTGAAATGCAGTATGAGACTATTTTAATTGTTACTCTTAAGCCCAAAGATAAACTTGCTAAAGGTCTATCCAACCTTAAAAATTCATATTGGCTTTGAATATTTTTAACCTATGATACAAGTATATTTAATCATGCCAGTGTTTTGTCACCATTAAGAGCAACCCGGGGACCACTTACACAAAACATGACTTATTGCATAATATCTTGATAACATGTTTGACCTACTTTAAAAATAAATGCTAAGGATGTTAACCAAATAGTAAATTAAAAATGTGTGAAGATCAATTAAAATTCTGATTGTAGCCCAGCTGGTGTGGCTCAGTGGTTGAGCATTGACCACAGACCAGGTGGTCACCAGTAAGATTCTGGGTGATCCCAGTGGAGAGTGGACAGGAGGTGGCCGATCGATGTTTCCCTCTCTAAAATCAATAAAAACATTAAAATAATTTGATTGTCAGTGCCCTACTTTCTAATTTGGCAGCTTTTTTTTTTTGATATTTTCAGGCAGAATGACCAAGTTATATTTCTCCAAATAAATTAAGGTGAGCTAATGTTGCCCAACTCATAATTATAACTCATAATTATATCCTAAAGGCAAGTTTATGTTGTACTTAAATGTGCATATATGAATTTGAAACACAAAATTAAAAATAAAGCTGCTTTTTCTACCCAGTACCTTTTTTACTTTATATAAAATATTGCTATGACTGCCTACTACTTATTCTTAGAGTGCACATAATTAACCCAGCTGAAGATCAGGTACGGTTTTAATTACTTGAGACATCCCCCTCCTCCCACCACTCAAGACCAGGGGTCCTCAAACTGCAGCCCACTGGCCACATGCGACCCACCGAAAACATTTATCCGGCCCGCCGGGTGTTTTTGCTGCCGCTGTGTGCATAGGAATTTGTTCATAGTTTTTTTTTATACTATAGTCCGGCCCTCCAACGGTCTGAGGGACAGTGAACTGCCCCCCCCCCCGTTTAAAAAGTTTGAGGACCCCTGCTCAAGACTAACAGCAAAAGGCTGCAGGCAAAATAAAGCTTCTGAATTTGCTATTGAGTAAAACAGGTTTAATTACATTTCCTCCTAGTCTACGTTCTAAGGTGATTTAGGTTTATAGAAAAAAAATTAGCACAAGAATTCCTAAAATGAACGAGACCTCTTCTGTTTCAGTATTTGTTGATGATCCTTTAAATTCTACACTAGCATGGCAAGGCTATATTCTCATACAAACTGGGAAATAACTGATTTGTAGGTAATTAACATTTGAGTCTCCATTACTGCCCTCCTCCATTATACCTAGTGTCATTTCTTTGAATAACACCAAAGGATTGCCAAGGTTTGTTTGTTTTTTTGGTTTTTTAGGACATTGAGCAATTCTCAGCACAGGTGTCTTTGATAGTTTGATTTGCATATATTTAAATACAGTAAATTGGGTGGTAAACACAATACAATACACAGGGCGTGGCCTGGCCAGTGTGTTTGTGGTTGAGCAGCAACCCATGCACCAAGAGGTTGCTAACTTGATCCCCAGTAGGAGGTGTGCAGGAGGCAGCTGAACCGTTTCTTTCCCCTCTCTCTCTAAAATAAAAAAATATATTTAAAAAGAAAAAAATACATATTCAGGGGATGTATTGTAGAACTATATACCTGACACCTGTAATTTTGTTAACCAATGTCACCCCATAATTTCAAAGTATAGCGCCCTGCCTTGGCTGGCATGGCTTGATTGTTGTCCCGTGCTGAAATATCACCCAGATTCTGAGTCAGGGCGCACAGCACAGCACATGCCCTAGTTGTGGGCTGGATCCCCAGTTGGAGGCAGCTGATGTTTCTCCCTTTCTCATAAATAAAAGTGTTAAGACATTTATGATTGGAATGATAGAGGATTGAGGGTGGGGGAAAGTTTTAACAGCCAAGATAACCTAAATAAAAGGTGAGTATCAACATCACATACCTTAGAAAGGTATAAAATAATCACTGTACTTGAGGAAACCAAAATATACTTATAGTAAACATCATTACATAAAAGGGTACGGTCTTTTTTTTTTAGTTTTATTCATTTCAAACGGGCCGGATCCGGCCCGCGGGCCGTAATTTGCCCACGGCTGGACTAGTACCTGGAATTTGAGTTCATAACTTATCCTTACATTTAAATTCTGGTTAAGTTCTCTTCCCAAAAGCAAGCACAAAGTGGAAAGAAACGGAAGGGTCTTGGGCAAGTTTTCTAGTGTTTAATTGCTTTCTCATAGGCAATTACTTTGTAAAACAAGGACAGTGTAACTCCTTAAAACCTTACACACACAAGAAAGCCCCAATATTTTTTGGCTCCTAGACCAGTTTATTTCTCTCTAGAATTCAGAGATGTGATCCAAAAAAACTTCACATAGGCCTTTTACTTAACAAACTACGCTAGCAATTATCAATGAAATGAATTTACATGCCTTGCTTTTTATTCCAAACAACAACAAAAAATCCCATCTTTAATATAAGGGTGAAACAAAGGTTAGGAGTACATAAACATAAAGCACTAAACATTAACAATGTTGGAAGAAGGGGCAGAGGATGAAAACCCTAGAAAGAAGAACCTTTCCAAAGAACCTTTCCATCTTAGAGATGCCAATAGTTGAATGAAGACAAAAAGGTTGCTTTTACTTCATTTATCAATGAAAACAGTTTATTTCCTGGGATTCCTAAAGGCTTTAATAGACCTCCTGGCAGAATGCCATTAGATTATTCCTGAGCTACCCTACTCTGTTGTCCCAAGTCACAGCTCCCCTATTTCAAAATATCTCAGGGATTTTGTAAACGAGAATATGATCAAAATGCAATATAATGAAATTTGGGAAACCAGCCTGGAAAAAGTGTGTCACAACAGCTGTGAGAGCTTGGGTTACATTTAACCTCTTCCATTAAGAAGAGTCACAAAATACTTTTTGCAATTAAACCTATCTTATAAATCTATTAAATCTCCCCTCTCAGTGAACCTTAGATTCCCTTAAAAGTTTAAGCTATAAAAAAAACTGCCCATTTGGAAAAAAAAAAAGTGCAGTGCAAAACTGTGACAAAGATGAACTAAATGAAAAATCATGGACTCTAATCTGCCATTTTCTATGTATCTTAGCCAAGTTCAAAATTAACAAGAAAAATAACCTCCAGTTCAGGATTGAAAAACATACATTAACCTCCAGTTCATACCTCCCCTTAATATGTGTATTCTGCTACATTTTCGAAATCTTTACAAATCCATATTCTTAGATGAATAATTTTAAGTTTAAATGTGGCAGAAACATGACAAAAATAGGAGTGATGGAATCAATATATAGGCAAATAGCCCTCATACCCTAGTAAGGAACTAAGGAATCCAAAACATTTTGTGATACTATAAAAGTTATTTATTCACTATACACAGAACATGTCCCCTACAAAATGTACATGTCAATCACTAAAAAGTATAACTTGGCGAACATTTTCAGTTACAGAACATACTAAATCAGTTGGGATAACAGCTGTCTGCCTCAAAATAATCTAATTATAGCACCCAGTGTACTTGTATCTAATGCAAAATGAAATACTTTTGGGGGGATTATTTCCTAATGTGTGTTTGAGGAGTCAGTTAACAATTTAATATAATTCTAGTATATTACAGTCACTGCACAATAAATCAGTTTATTACAGATCAAAACATCATTTTTTCATTATTTGTATTAACGGGATGCAAACAAAAATACCAGATACTTTTTAATGGCAGGTAACCACAAAATTACTTATCTTTGATAGTATACTGGGTTTTATAATTACATTAGGATAATGGTGTAAAATATTGTCAAACAATACACCTCAAAACAATGAGGCCATACTGTAATGTTAGTCACTAGATTGTGCTCACACCTTTATTGAATAAGTGAATTTTAAATCTATTTTCCTCCCAATTATCCAATACAATTTTTGCTTATAGTAAGGGCTCAGTAAATGTTTGCTGAATATGCTAAGAAAGAGGTGAGATGTGGAACCTCTTAACTGGATGTCAAGTATTATAATTAGAATTTACCTGGGAATAGTGTTTAAGGAAGATGTAAACTGCACATGGCATACAGGTAAATAAACTCAGATGCCAACAAAGCAAACCATTAAACAGTAAAACACTGGCACTGGAACAAAGTCAATATTTGCCAATAGCAAAAACGTATCTGACTTTAAGAGATAACCAAGAAAAAGTTTATATTGGACCATGCCTTTTCTCACCCAATTTAGTTTCAGACAGACCAAAAGAAGCACTGTAGGAGACTTAAGGCTGTCTACCGTGATATTCAGACATCCTAGTTTCCAGTAATTTATTATGGACCTGTTATCCATGAATCAATATAAACCTATTCAGATTTAGGGATTAGTTTCCACAAGTACAAAGGTGAATTTCCTTTTATTTGTCCTAAAATGCTTACTTTCAAACTTGAAGGGACTTCAATTATTCCATGTAGTTTCAATAACATTCTTTTATCTTTTCAGACCAGAGTCAAAATATTCACACAGTATTCATACTGCAGCACCTTCCACCCACCCTTTGGTCGCTTGAACTGCCCTTCTTTGGTTCTCTTTCCGCTTTCTCAGATCTTTCTTGAAGTGCAGTAAGCAGAACTGTACTGGGAATTCCAGCTGCAGTTTGGTCTTAAATAAAAGAAGGATGTTTGTCAGTTTGGTTTTCTGTATTCTTCTCTGTGGTACACAGGATTTTGTTAGTTGAACTGGAGTAGCAGCTTACTGGGCCAGATTTTCAAGAGAATAGTACAATAGTTCCCAGGGTTATACCTTAATAGCTCATACACTATGTAGCACACCTTTTCTTTCTCACTGAGGCATTATCTGTCATTTCTCTTCTTGCTTATTTGGCTTAAAACAAAATGTAAAAAGGGAGGTGAAGTGTCATCCCTCACTTGAGTCTTGATGTTTTAATATATTAAGCACAGTGCCAGACACACAGTAGGTACTCAGTAATTGTGTAACTCAAGTATGTATCCCAAAATTAAAGCACTGTGTAAGGATCCTCATCAGTATCAGTAGGATCCTAACTATCATGGGTTCAACTATAATATAGTCCTTTTGAAGCTGTTAGATACCTTATTTCAGAAATAACATACATGAGTCTAAAAATAAGAGACACAAGTAAAAAAATGAAAATATAAGGTCTTTTAATTCTAGAGAGACTGAGAATCATATCCTCAATCTACTTTTCTCAAATTGTAGTCCATTAAAAAAAGAAAACAAACAAAAAAATAACCATCCAACCATGAGGACCAGGTCTGGACTCAATAATCTGGCCCTGTCTTTGTGCCTCAATTTCCTTATCTGTGATATGGGGAAAATAAAAGTATCTTTCTAATAGGGTTTTGTGAAGAGTAAAGGAGCTAACACATAAAAAACTTATAGAACAGTGTCTGGCACATCATAAATACTCAATAACTATCAGCTATAATTGTTGCCATTATTTAGTAGCTGGAATTCAAACATCTAAACCAGCTCCCCAAAATAGTTACCATGTATTAATTGCTCATCAAATTCAATGCAAAAGCATTTTAAACCATGCCATAAACAAGATCTAACATATCTTGTTTAGAACTGGGGAGAGCAGAATTATTGGTCTACCCAATTAAACTTATAATTAGCTGACCAAATTTCACTTTAATGCATATCTTAACACTACTAATAACCTCTAAGTTATTTAACCCAAGGGGCTTTGACATTACCTAAGGAATTTTTAAGTACCATGTAAAAGATGTACCTTACTGGTAAGTTCTATTCATTTCCAAAATAAAAGTTAGTTGTGCCTAGAGCAACACTGATTAAAACTATTCCTCAATCTACAAAAGATTGTTTCCATTGTTATTTTAGGATCTCATTAAAAACTATAATAATTCCAGTTAATCATTATTTCCTTCATTTTTGTTTTTATTATAGCATGTTTGCTTCATTTACAGCAAGCAGAAAATAAACTGGGTCTTATTTTGATCCAAACATTGATGTTTTAAAGGTTGTACACAATATTAGTTAAAAAGAACATATAAAAATACCTTTTTAGAAGCTTCTATAAGAAAGAAAATACAGTTTAACCCCACAACTTTCCTCTTTGCTAGAACTGCAAACTACTGCTACAGTTTTAAATAGACTTTTTGTTGTTTAAACTATACATCCAGGAAAATCTAAAAAATTAAAGAAACGTGCATATAAATGATTGCATAGCAGAACATGAACATTAACTGCAAAACAGTAAAGAAATGAGTTAGAAATACTATCAAATATACAAAGGTTCTAGAATCAACCCTTTAAACACATTCCACAAACAGTATTTAAAAACCACCTTTTGTTCTTTACAGGCAAGGCCTAGATTACTAAAAGCAAAATTGAAAAAAGCAATCCTCTAAAAGGAGTCGTTTTCCCACAATATTTCTTATAACCTGGCAAGCAAGCAATCTAAAAATTTTAAAGATGCTAGCTTTTATTCTGAAATGAGAGTGGACACATCAAGTAACTTTTATTGTCCCTAAAACGATCTCTCAGAGAAATGCTAGAAATTATAAATGGTTAAGGGAATTTTTTCCTCATTTTTAGTCAGGTACTACATCAATAATCAAAGACTCAAAGATGTGACTTGTACTTAAAGTCAGTTCTTTTTCATGGCACCACAGAATCACCTAGAATGGGAGTGTTGTCTTTCAATTTGCCTCACATTAAATAAACAGATGTGAAGAACAAGCCTCCTTCATAAAGAGGTAGGCAAATTTTGATACAAATGCACATACACCTAGTGCTATAAGCATCAAAATTCAGTTCTTTTACACTATGTACACAAACTTCCGGTGAAACAATTTACTTGCTTTTAACAGCAGCAAAAACTAAGCTATTATGGTCAACAATGTTCTTTCAAGTTTAGAGTAACTTAACTACATAACAGCATCATTTCCACCTCAAATTTGTCATCATTGACCTGTTCAAATTTTAAGGTGAATTTTTCTGATGTTTGTATATTTCAAATCTTCTTAGAAACCAGAAAAAAAGCAGTGAAGGCTCCATGTTTCAATAAAAACTCAATCTCCCTGGAAATGCTACTTAACCCGTTGCATCATTCCCTAAGAAGGTGGGGTTAAGAAAAGAACTACTCCACACTGTGTCATAAATTAACTATTTTCACGGGCCTAGACATCTTAACAAGACAAAAAGGTCCACCCTGAACCTAAATGTGTCTGATCACTCAGTGTACTGTGGCTACAACTTCACTTTTGTATCATTCTATCTTATTAGCAAGCTATATTTCTAGGTTAACAGGTCTACCAAATATGGATATAAGAGTTTATTTTTAATAAGACAATGTTGCAAATTATGGTCAACCAACATCTTTTCACCAATACTTCAAGCATAAAAAATGAGAATCTTTACAAAAATATACAGAGACACCACAAATTGGTAGCTGCCCATAACATTAAACAAACTGGACTCTTAAGAGTGGCTTCTCAACAGCATATCACTTTAATTATAACCATTGCCTGGTACAGGGAAAACTGACAAATGTTTTGTAAGCATCATTGCAACATTGTATTCCTGATAATTTAAGTAAACCAAACTATGAGTAAATGAATGATACATGCCTAAAAATATCATGGTTTATACTATCAGTGGCCACTGGACTTGGGACTAGTCCAAGACCTTGATCTAGATTTTGACCTAGACCTAGACTGTGATCTTGACTGAGATTTGGATCTAGGTGGTTCTTTTTTCCTTGGTTCCTTTTCATATCTTGAGCCAGACTTATAATGTGTTTTGGAATCTGTTTTAGAGGTGCCTCTAGTTTTGGTGTGAGATGCAGACCTAGAACGTGATTTAGCCTTCATTTCTTTCTTGGGCTGGGACTTGGACCGTGATCTTGAATTGGATTTAGATCTTGAAAAAGATCGATTTCGGTGTTTGAATCTTTCAAAACAGAGGAGAGATACAATTAGAGTAAAAATTAGATTCTATATTAATCAAATTTATTATTTTTAGAGCAAAAGTTCACTCTGAAATTGAAAAAATGTATAAGTCTCTTTCAAAGCAAAGTTATTTACCTATCATTGTCGGAATGGCTTCTGCTACGCCGTGGTCTTCCGGTCGGTCTACTGCTAAAAAGTACACCAGAAAAAGCAAACAGTGACAAATGTCTATTTACAGTCTTATAAAGTTTCTAATTAAAAAAGTGAACCATAAAATTTTTAAAATGAAACACTAAAATATTTTTAGTCTCAACAAAGCATACAATGTATATAATTAAAAGTACACAAAAATTTTTTAAAATTTAAAGCTAACAAACATAAATCTTTCTTGATAGATCACTGTGCTACATCACACTTACTTTCTAGGACTATAGGATCTTCTATAGTTGTAATCAAAGGACCGACTTCTTGATCTCCTTCTTTCATAACTTCGGCTTCTAGAACGCCTGTATCTGTCATAATCATCATAACGTGAAGAACTGTATACATTCCTCCCTTCCTTGGCTTTCATCTGATTTGGAGCTATGAAATACACAGAACAGAAATACTTAGAAATATATAAATGACTTTTGAACTAAATGCTATTTTGGAATCATCGCACCCTGACTTTCATTCATTAAGAATACAATTAACAATGATAAAATACTTACTGGTAACCTATGAACAATGTGTGTCAAAATGCAGTAATAGCCCTAGCCGGTTTGGCTCAGTGGATAGAGCATTGGCCTGTGGGCTGAAGGGTCCCAGGTTGTAGGCTCCATTCCCAGTAGGGGGCGTGCAGGAGGCAGCCCATCAATGATTTTCTATCATTGATGTTTCCCTCTCTCCCTCCCTTCCTCCAAAATCAATTTAAAAAATATTTTTAAAAAGGCAGTAATATATTGTCATACAATTTTAAGAGGCCACAACAAAGAAAAGCATGAGAGCTAACATTTACTGAATGCCTTAGACACACCCACACCCCTAGACAGCCCTCAATATTTATGTTACCTCATTCAATTCTAAGAAGCAGGTATTTTACATATGTGTGTATGTATGCATAAATAACATAGTGAACACCCAGGAACCCATCATCCGACCCAAGACCTAGATATTACCAATAGCTTATGTTTACCTAAGCACTCCTCTCTTCATCAGCTATTTTAATCACTATATTTTTATATCTTGTCCAAGGTATCAATGGTTGAGACAGAATTCAAACCCAGGTCTATCTTGATTTCAAAGCCTGTACTCCTGCCTCCATTAGCAGTTAACATATGCATACTAATAAAAACCACTAATATAAAATCTATTCTAGTTTTAATCTATATAGCCTTTCCCAGTCTAATTCATAGCTATATTCACTCACGTAATCACCCAATTATGTTTTATAAGGAAGAAAAATAGCTCAAGAGACCCAAAATTTTCTGAATTTTATCCTTCAATTTCACTCCCAGTATATTAAACACGCCACAGCTGATAGCATCAATGTACTTAAGAGTCCAAACATAATTCAGGCATTCCTATCTCTACATTACCTTATGTCTACCGTAAAACTTTGTAATACATCTAAAAATATGAGGAAACAAAGTATTGAAGATATTCTATCTCAGCGGTTCTCAACCCGTGGGTCGCGACCCCTTTGGGGGTCGAACGACCCTTTCACAGGGGTCGTCTAAGACCATCGGAAAATACATATATAATCACATAGTTTTTGTGATTAATCACTATGCTTTAATTATGTTCAATTTGTAACAATGAAATTGGGGGTCACCACAACATGAGGAACTGTATTAAAGGGTCGCGGCATTAGGAAGGTTGAGAATCACTGTTCTATCTTTTCAAATGATGCTTTATAAACGTATCAGGCATAAGGGTACTTACTCTTCCGATCTCCCTGTGCAAACTGTATTTCAATTTGGCGACCACAAATCCATTTTCGGTCCAAATTATGTAAAGCATCTTCGGCATCACGAACATCTTCAAATGTGCTAAATGTTAAGGGGCTTGGGAAATTTTGCGAACTTTGATAATGAGTGAAAGTTCACTTGGAAAATCTTGAAAAATTCACAAAATTATTAATCTCTCATTATTGCTTTAGAACATCTATCAGACCCCTCACTAGCTGGCTGAATCAGCTATAAATACTTCACAATATTAAAGCACTTGTGAATTTCCAAGGCATACAATTGAAAACACATGTGAAAAAATAGTCAAACTATTATTGAAATAAATTATAGCTGAAATAACCAAATAATCCTATCAAAAAACTTTCCTGTTTTAAGAATTAACTTTACAAAATAAGACAAAAAGAAAAACAAGTGTCAGTTCTGTTGTATGTTAAAACAAAAATCCCTTAAAAAATAAAACCAAAACTGTTTTTCCTATTTTTATTTCAAATGAAAAAAAGAAAATGCCAATAGTTCTTGTGTAAGCAAGCAGAATGAATATACCTCACCTACGAGAGGAAAGCATTAACCTTAAATTTTGCTGTTTTTTCTCAAACATATCTAACACTATTGCTTAACGTAGTAGTCTTCCTTTATACCACACAGGGAAGAATGGTAACTAGCCACTTGCAATAATGTAATCAAAACAGAATCAAGCAATACTCAAGATATCACTGTACCAAACGTGTATTACAGCCATGCACAGACACGCATGCTCTCAAGAAATAACTGACCATTTCTATAAAGATTCCTGGACTGAAAAGCCATAACATCAATGATACTAACTCAGCATCCAACCAAGAAGTGAGTTTGGGACTACCTTTAACCTGAGAATTTTGATATTACCTAGCAACATAAAGCAGGAACTCTTGGTCCCCATTTTGTTTTTTAATATATTTTTATTAATTTCAGAAAGGAAGGGAGAGGGAGAGACACATCAATGATGAGCACCTTTCATAGGCTGCCTCTTGCACACCCCACATTGGGGATGGAGCCTGCAACCCGGGCGTATGCCTGACTAGGAACTGAACCATGACTTCCTGGTTCATACGTAGATGCTCAGCCCTGAGCCATGCCAACTGGGCTCTTGGTCCCTGGTTTTTACCTCAGAGGCTAAGTTGCCTTGTTCTCTCAATGTCAGCAATACCACAAACTCTTGGCTTTTCAGTTATTCTGTCTAAATTTAGTGCCTTTCCTAAAACCACCATTCTAATGGAAGCCAAGCACATATTCAGAATAGTACTTGATGTAAAAGCTTTGGAAAGGGAGCTTGTTAGGTTTGAGTGTGGATTTTCATTCTATCCTAAGGCACGATTTAAACTTGCCTATTTTTCTATTTCTTAAATTTGAGATATTTTTGAGAGCAGAGTGAAAACTACTCCAAGTCACACTTTCCCTCCCTCTCCCCCTTCAAGACTGACACTGATATTCTTTTTTCCCAAAGACTAAAAGGTTGGCCTCACTAGATTTCCTATTTTTTTTGTTCTGAAATAAATTAAGGACCATGTGGGTTCCCAGCTCCCCTTTCCTGAGGACATTATATGTGAGTTAATGTAGAGGGAGAGGTTATCCCAAGTCCAAAATCATAGGACCTTCAATATGACAAGACAAAGACTGATTGGGAATTTAATACTGTAACAGATCAGCCTTCAAGGTTAATGCAGTTGGGTTCTAAAATAATTAAAAGAAATAGGTTCACTTAATGGGTATACTAATTTATTTGTTACTTCAAGAAACAGAATGTAATAAACTTTTAAGGGACTTAGATCAAGAGGTGTAAAAATTATTAATGAGACCAAATCATCCGTTTTAGCTATCCTCAAAACCAGAATCCTGGGTTGGATGAACAAATGGCAAGGTTCTACTTTACCTTTAAGAGAAGGCAAGTGGCCACAGAAGGGGCAGCCAAATGTCATGCCGATGACACAGATGGAGAAATTGCAACTCAGTCTTCTTAAAAAAACTACTTTAAGAGCATAGAAAAGACTATCCTATATAATAAAGGCCAATATGCAAATCAACCGAATGGCAGAACAACCAGTTGCCATAACGTGCACTGACCACCAGAGGGCAGACGCTCAATGTAGGAGCTTCCCCTACGTTGAGTGTCTGCCCTCTGGTGGTCAGTACCGGGAACCTCTCCCGCCTCTGTGGGGAGTGGGCCTAAGCTGGCAGTCAGACATCCCCTTAGAGCTCTGGGACTGCGAGAGGGAGCAGGCCAGGCTGAGGGACTCTCCCCAAGTGCATGAATTTCGTGCACTGGGCCTCTAGTATGTGTATATAAAAAAAAGGCAATTTTTCTTTAGATGACAACTCTTTCTGTCTCAAGTATCACATACTCTTGAGTCAAACTACTGCTGATCCTGGGTCACAGGCCACTCTAAAACCAGGTCAACATTGTAAGCCAGAACGCATTGCTACTTAAAAAAAAAAAAAAAAAAGTCAAATCAGACATCTTTTATTCTCTTTGTAATACAGCTTTGCAACAAACTGCCACAACTGTCCTTGATCACTGGCCCTGTGGGAGTAGCAACTTTCCACATTTGCTCATTAAGTCTCACTAGGATTCCACTGTTTCTTCTTTTTAAATAATTTTTCTCCATTATTTATTGATTGATTTCAGAGAGGAAGGGAGAGATAGAAACATCAATGAGAATCATTGATCAGTTGCCTCCTGCATGCCCTCCCATTGCAGATCAAGCCTGCAACTCAGGCATATGCCCTTATCCGGAATCAAAACTGGGACCCTTCAGTCCACAAGCCTACACTCTATCACTGAACCAAACCAGCTAGGGCTCTGCTAAGTTTCAAGAAACTTACTGAACTTAAGCAATAAGAAATAAATTTCCCTAGCCTGAAGTACACAGCCCAAACCTGTCTCAGAGAGATGATCTCAGTGAAGTAATGTCACTGTGAAACTCTGGGCCAGGGAATGATTTCCAAAGGCCTTTTCCAATCTATTCAGAGCCAACCGATCGTAAGTGCTAAAGCAGTGCATGGTCAGCAGGAATAACAGACCCAAGTTCCAGAAGTTAGGAAGATGTGTGTGCCCCACAGCAGCCACTTAAAAATCTATAAACAGGTAGTTTCTACAGATCTGACCCTGCAATACAACCAGAAGCGTTTCTAAGTAGTTCCCAGTGTATGCATCTCTCTTCTTTTAAGCATAAGCATGGCTCTGTGGAGTCAGATTGACCAGAGAACCTCATGCTACTCCTCTAAAGGGCACTGCCTACCATCCTATGGCATCTGACCACCTGGTCCAAAACAGAAATATGCTAAATTGTATGCTTAAAACATTATATCCTGGTACACTTTAACTTGCAAAGCTAAGAAAGTGCATTATATAAGACCACAATCACAACATCAAAGGCCCACATAAATCAAGTTACAGGTTTTGTCCCTAGACCAAACCAGAATAATTTTGAAAATTAACTGCTTACAAAACATGAAGGGAAGAAAAAAAAAAGGAAAATAGTTGTTCTGTAGGATACATCAGGTATGATTCCTTTAATCTTGGCCATCATTCAACTTCATCTTGACCTTTAACTCTTTAAGTGCTTGTCAGAAGGACTTGTCATGAGATGCTTGGCCAAATATGACAGATGGCTTTATCTTTAACTTTGAAAAACAACCTTTTCCCCCTTTTGTAGATAAAGCGAGGCTTTGTCTCCCATTAGGCTTGTCCTTCTTCCAGCTTTTCTTTACTTTTTCTTTTCCCAAACTCTCCCTTCTCTTCAAGCCTGATCCTTAAGAGGTCTTTGGCTTGTCTACTTGCCTTAAGTGTTGAACTCTACTCTAAAGGTTCTTTCATGCTTTCTCTTTGGGGTCGCCATAACTGTACAGCTTTACATTCTCTGAGGTAACAACAGAGGACAGCAAATTAGGGGACAATATTAAAGAGTTTACCTCATTGTTATACAATTTGTTTCGATCAAGTGATTCAAATTAACAAACAAGAATACCAAACTTTTCATTGCTAAGCACAAGAACATATTAACTTTTAATTTGACTTACATTAAAGGTGGTAGAAATCAGAGTGTATTCAAATTAAGTCACATGCTATAATCATTGATTTGAGTTTCAGCAGCACACAGGGGAATTTAAATGTCTTACTATTTTGTATTAACTTAAACAGAGCAATGTGAGTTAGAATTAATTTTTAAAAATGGGAAGACATAGACATTTATTAAAGGACAAAAGTAAACTACTTTTTAGATGTTACCTCTTACATAAACTTGAATTTCAAACTTCAACACCCCTCACTAATCAGCCATCTGAAGAAAGGATATTGAACATAAGCAAATCCTCTTGGACGGCGAGTGTAGAAATCAAGTGGAACATACACATCAACTATAGGACCATAACGACCAAATTCACGTCGTAAATCTTCAGACCTAAAACATCATAAAAAGACCCCAAATTTTTATGTTCACTTCCTTAAAAAGACTTTCTTCGTAAGAAACAGGTTATCTTTTTTAAATATCTCAGTTAATGAAAAGGACTGTCTGTGTCCCTGGGTGACCTGAAACAGACAAGCTTTCTAAATCTCAATATTAAGAGCCAATTTTAAGAACATACAAAAAAGATACATAGAGGCAATGTATCTTTCTGATAAAGGGAGGCTGGAATCCAAGATTTAGGAAGATAAAAAATGGAGTTTATGACAAAATCCTTACTGTTTTACAATACCAGGAAAACAGACATTTAAGGGTACTTGACCACAATTTATCTCTATTGTTTATCCACAGCCTTCATTTTTCACAAAAGGCATAGTAGCATTAGGTTGTATGTAGGTACTGCTAACGTGTTTAACAGTTTTAGGTCAACTCTACACTCTGAATAATGCCAAACACACATATTCACCCTAAAATTTTAGCGACATGTTAAACAGTTCGAAAGTAATGTTACAAATACATATAACTCCTTAAAAATGTCAAATGACAAAGGGGAAGTTTTTCTAGAACGCTAATCACTACTGCTTACTTTCCCTACTTAAAATCAGGACAGAAAAATGTAGATTACACAAAGATAGCAAAAATATTTTATTGGGGGGGGGGGAAGAGTAGAGGGATTATTTGTGAAATATAAACTCTCATTTTGTGATAAGATCTCTTTCAAAAAATTCTAACGGCAACTCCAAGCAATTAAGGGAATTGTGAGAACAAAGGCAGGTTCTGGACTAATCCAATTTAGTAATCAGCGTCCTCCCGGTAGAGGCTCTTTAAAGCCCCGTTCTCCAAGGGCGACCAGTATTTCCGGGAAATGGGAAGAACGAGCTCGTACCGTTTAACTGAAAAAATGTGATGTTCCAAATCTCAACAATATTCCTTTTCTTTAAAGGTCTCCATATTAAATACCACAAATATAAAAACAAAAAAAGGGGTATCAAATGCTTCGCCTCACTCCCCTCCCCCGATCAGTTATTTCGCCGCAAAATTTTTTTAATAAAAAAAAGAAAAAGAAAAAGATCCCTGGCCGAGGGGGGCGTGCACCTCAAAGAATGTGAACTTCAATGGGGAGCGGATGTTGGCCGCGGCAGGGGGTGGAAGCAGGCGAGGAAGCCAGGAGAAAGGGGCCCCGAACCACCGAGGGGGAGGGGGAGGGGGGCTGAAACCACGCCACGCGGCCCGCGCGGCCCGGGAGGACCGGGGGCGCCGCCCTCGCTCCCACGCGGCGGTAGGGCCGGCGGCGCGGCCTGGTTCCGGCCTGAAACCCGCCATCTTCGACCCTCCCCTCCCCCGGCCCCGCGCGCCGCCGCCGCCAGGGTCCTCCCCGAGCGCCTGCGGCCTCCTCGCGTAGACCTGGAGCCCCTTCCCTGGACTTACCGGGTATCGTCGGCCACGTTCCTTACGAACAGAGACGTGTTTGGGGGACGCAGGTAGCGGGACATGACGACAGCGTGAGTCTCGGCAGGAGCACTAACGGGCTCGACAAACCGTCCACAGCTCCAGCACTGAATCCTCACACACACTGCCAGAGGGCTCCGCTACGGCAACTGCCTCTTATCGCGAGACTTCACTCCCGCCTCCACTGCCCCACCCCCTACCTGGGCGCCGCGCCGGGACTGGCGACGGTTCTTTCCCGCGAGATCTTTCGGCGTGCGCCTGCGCATGCGGGTGGCTGGGATACGTGCCGCAGCCAGGGTCTCATTCATTGGCCGCTCGCGCCGCCTCCTCCCTTCCCCCCAGCGCGCGTTTTCTTTCTTTAATGCCTTCTTTCCCGCCCTTACATTCCTTTCCTCCCTGCCCCCTCCACCATGTCAGAAAGCAGATATAGGTATAGATATAGATATCTTTTTACCCCTATGCCGAACTTTACAGTTATTACTAACTGAACGGAGTTTTAGACATTATAATTCGGAGAGGCCTCCATATCATACGATTTCCTGCGTGGTCCAAGTTATGCGTGGCTTTTATTAGATCACTGACCAGCAAGAGAAGAATTTACAGCTTCTCCGATTGAGTTGTGAAAGGGGAGTATGTGTGTCCTTGGAAGGAAATGAGCCTGTCTCCCTCGCTTTCTGCACTCCCCGGGCGCACTCCCCGAGGGCTCTTGTCCAGGCTGCCCCTCGCCCAGACCCTTCATGGCCAATTCCTCCACTGTCCACGCTGTTTCCTTCTGCTTTCACGCATTCTCGACCTTTTGGTTGCAACTCAAACTTCACATCTTAGTCTCGGTTGTCAACTACAGTGTATTGTATTTCAGTCGTTCTCCAACTTTACGGTTTCAGAACCCCTTTACAAAGGATTTACATAACTCTGTGTGACAACTTACGGAAGACTCCAAAGAGCTTTGTTTATGAGGGTTATAGTTATTAATATTTACTGAATTAGAATTTAAAATTATGAAAATTTGGACACAACACACAAGCAGACCTTGCACTACCTTTCAACACATATCATATAGCTCCTGGAAAACTCCATTCTGCATTTGTTAGAGAAAATGGCAAATAGTGTAGGATAGTTTTGACTTTGGAGACCACCTTGAAAGGGTCCTGGGACCCCTGGGTTAAGGAACCATTCTCTGTCTGCTCTTATCAGACTCCATTTTTGGAGCTGAAGGGATCACCTTTCAGAATGCCTCTGGCATGCAGCGCACTGCCACGCAGACAGCAGGGACACAAGTCCTGTTTAATTAAATGAGCTTGTAAAAGCAATATTTTTGTATCCATCAGCTCCAAAGCAGTCAAGTGGTTTGACATGGGTGATGATAGTCTACTAGTATTGTATTCTAAGGAGGTATTGTTTTTCTACATTATGTTTTCCAAGAAGGTTTGGACACAATTTATTAAAACATTTACTGATTACCTAGTATGTCTCAGACATTGTGCTAGATGCTGGAAGTTCAGTGATGTAAAACATGGAGCTTGTTTTCATAGAAAATAAGTACGTAAACAACTAAAATAATTGCAGATTTGTAATATGAGACAGTAATATGATAGGCTTGGGTTTTTAAAAGATTTTTTCCCCTAAAAACAGGTTTGCAGTGTTAACTTCAGGAAGGAATATACCTGCCAAGAACTCCTGATAGTTAATTGAGCTCAGATTCATAGAGTCTAGCAGCCTTGCTGACAGGGTCTCTCACAAAAACGCTGCATTTGGGGGAGGGGGGGAGCACAGATTATGCTGCCAAACCTTGTGTACTGCTTTCCTCCCTCTGAGCCGACCCTTATAAAGGAGTTCTTGGAATCTCTTTTGACCAATTGGGAGAGACCTGCCGCATACAATCAGAGCTGTACAAATATATCCTCATTTGCATCTTTATTGACCAATCTATAACCACCAATCAGGATGCTCAAAGCTGACCAATCATGACAGTGCTATTTGCATCAATAAAACTGCACATTTGGATTCCTCATTTGCATAAAAATGAACCAGGGAGGGTACTTTGTAAAAGTACCTTTGTCTCAGGGGAGCGCACTTTCAGTTTCCAAACTGCTCATCTGATTAGAGTTTCTTGCTCGACACTGTCTCAGTTTCCGTGGGCAAACAATCAATTAGAAGCATGCTCTTTAAATTTGTTTAATAAGACATGCCTGGCATTCCCTATACTGTATACCTTCTTACTCTAATATGTAGACTGAGGAGAACTCAGTGTTCCTGTTTACAGATTCCTTACTTGTGGGTTGGAAGCTCTGGGGTACACAGAGTTTATTCACCTATGTCTCCCATTAGCTCTGCTCTGTGGTGAATTCACTGCTAATGCACACATTTTTAAAAATCATACTCCTTGGATGATCTATTCTTGCACATAGATTGCTACCTTGAATCTGTTTAAGGTAAAATCACTTGTTATATCTTAGCCTCATTTCAATGTCTTAAAATAACATCTTCTTCCAGTTGTAAATGACTTGTTTATATTAAAATTTTGGAAATAAAGAAACAAACATCACCTGTGACTCTACCCCCTCAGAACTAAATACAGTACTATTAAGACTTTTATATATTTCTATGCATTTATATAATTGTTAAAATTGAATACATACCGTTTTATAATGTGTTTTTCCCACCAAACATTTTATCCAGAATATCTTTTCTGGCCATTAATAGTTTTCATAAATGTAATTTTTAATAGCCCCTGTATCCATTATATTTTGGGTTCAGTTGCCAGTAACAAAAATCTGAAATAATAATCTTGATTATGATAACTAACACTTATTGAGCATTTAAATACCAAGCACTTTTCTCACCAAGGAACAAGAGAAACAATTCAAGAATTGTAATAGAATGTTGTATAGCTTTAAAAGTCATTTCCCTTGTGGTTTTAGCTTTTTTTTTTTTTTTTTTAAGTCACACATATTGATCCTCACACAAAACCTATGAGCTAGGCTACTATTATTCATCTATATCTTATAGATGAGGAAACAGGTTTACAGAGTGGTCTAAACAAATGAGTTTCACTTGTTTATCTATTTTTTAATATAATGATAAATCAGGAATAGAGAGTACAGGACTGATATGGCAGCTTCAGGATATCCGGGCTTCCCTTCTTTCCTTCTTCCCCATTATTCCCAGCTCTGACATCTATACTCAAATTGCCTCATGGTCATAAAATGGCTGCTGGAGCTGTGGGCATTATGTCTACAGCTGAGGGGAAAAGGGGTAGTGTAAAGTTTGAAAAGCATATGCTAGGACTTCTGGTCAAGATGGCAGCATCGGCTCCATTGGCTCTCCCGGGTCACCAGCTTGCCAACCACAGATTTTAGGACTTCTCACCTCCATAATCATGTAGTCAATTACTTCAAATAAATTCATTTATATAATCAATCAATCACATACACACACATCCTATTGATTCTGTTTCTCTGGAAAACCCTAAGACATATGGCTACACTACAATTTGTTTACCCATTCACCTCTTGCTGGATATTTGTTTCAGGTTTGGGGCCATTATAAATGAAATTTCCATGAACATCAGTGCACCAATCTTTTCGTGGATATGTTTTCAGTTCTTATAAGTAAATAGAAGTGGAATTGCTAGGTCGTATGGTAGGTCCTCCAGAAAACAGATGCCAGGATGGAGTGAGAGATGTAAGACATTTCTTTGGGTTAATGCCCACAAAATATGAAAGGGAAAGGGAGCAGGAGAAGGGAGGGTCTTCAGACCAGATCTGACCCTGTAAACATAGAGAAGGAAGCAAGGAAGATTGGTTAGGAAGAACCTCCTATTTTAGTACAGCTCTGAGAAAGTTTCACCAGCTCAACGGGGAGCCCTGGCATAAAGATCACCCATGGAGGAGTCCTGTGTTGGGCAAGAATGGCCAGGCCCTAGCACAGTCTTTGGTTGGACCTGCCTGGGAAGAGCGTGGCCTCAGCTCAGATGCTGCAGTGGATCCTGAAGGCGCTGCAACTGAGACTGTAAGCTAACTACACGCCTAGTGGTAGCGTCACTCTTAAAGGGAGATCTAAAGGACACACCTCCATGGGGGCCAAAGTCCATACCTTGCTCTGTGTAGATGCCCTTATTCTTATACTACTGGTAGTAGTTCTATTGGTCTCTCTTTCTAAGGGGAAAACTCAGAAGAGGGAGATCATTGGGATGAACTACAGCCCCTGTAGCTGCAGTTGGTCTCGGGCCACAACTGGCACTCATCCTCTCCCTCTTCTACTATCCTCACTTTCTACAGTCACTTCTTAAATCTTGATAATTTACCAGTGGTGGTCTGAGCCCCTGGCCACCACGCCCTTCCCAGGCCAGGGTTGCCTGAGAAGGGCACTTGTCCATTCATGTACAATCATCAAAGAATATCAAGAGGAGCCAAACCGGTTTGGCTCAGTGGATAGAGCATCGGCCTGCGGACTGAAAGGTCCCAGGTTCGATTCCGGTCAAGGGCATGTACCTTGGTTGCGGGCACATCCCCAGTGGGAGGTGTGCAGGAGGCCGCTGGTTGATGTTTCTCTCTCATCGATGTTTCTAACTCTCTATCCCTCTCCCTTTCTCTCTGTAAAAAATCAATAAAAATATATTTAAAAAGAAAAAAGAATATCCAGAGGAGCTTAACTAGATCACCTGGGTTCCACATATATTCCTTCCAAACCCCATAGGATAACAATTACCCCACCTCTTCCTGTTGATAGGGTCAACAGTGGCCAGTTACGAGGAATCATATCAGGTGCTCAGCATTAATATTTGTACCTTGGCAGTAGCTAAATCAGCATTGGTAAGGGGGAATCTGTACCAGGAGTCAGAAAACTATAGCACCTTGGGCCAAACTGGGCTTACAGCCTGTTTTTGTATGGTCCACATACTAAGAACAGGTTTTATATTATTAAATGGTTGAAAAAAATAAAAAAGATTAATATTTATCAACTTATGACCTGGCTCCCTTTGGTGAATGTCAGTTTCTTAAAAGTAGAGACTTTGAAAAAAAAAAAAAGTAGAGACTTTGTTTTATTCATGCCAGGACAGTCTTGCTCCGCCAAAGTGCAGTAGGTCCTCAGGTTATGTCTGAGATCCGTTCCTACAGAGATTTTCGCCGTGAGTTGAAACCCACCTACATCAGCACCTACGTCACTCA